TACATACATACATACTTACATGCATGTATACATAGATGGGCGCCTCGGACCCGTTCACAAGCCAAAGACGCACCCCGTGAGGCCTGGCGGGCCGAAGTGACGAAGCGGCGCAGAATCTGACGCTGCCGCGCCCATGTCGGCGGTTGAGGGTTCCTTTGAGGGTTCCCTTAAGGGTTCCTTTCAGGGGTTTATAGGGTTTAGGGTTCAGAGTTTAGGGTTTAGGGTTCAAGGTTTAGGGTTTAGGGTTTTTAGCGGTTTAGGGGGTCTACAGGGTGGATGGGTTGTAGCAGGTTAGGGTTTGAGGTTTTGGCGGCTCTAGGACCGTATCTGGTCTTTGCATTGCAGGAATGTCTCTGGGCTTTCCCCGTAACGAATACGAATCGTGAGGAACATATACCTTGTATTCGACTGTAGTCAGAAAGGACAGTGGATTAAGTTCAGGGTCTGAGGCGAATGGCAAGACTTTTTCATGAGCAAGTGTTACACAAGCCTTTTCGAAAATGAGCCCTTAAGCCCCCTTGAAGCCTAAGTTTAGGGTTTAGGCCTATACCCGTATCCTGGGCCCTAGACTACTAGTTGTAGCGATATAGCGACTAGTAGTGGGCAACGATGGAGCTTTCGAAAGGTTAATTGGGTTTACCGGTCGTGGGTTAAGGGGTCTGCGGAGCATGATCTACCCCCGAAAGAACACAATCTGACTAAGCGCTAATTCCTAAACCCAAATCCCGAAACCCCAACCCTAAACCCTAAACCCTAAACCCTGAATTCAAAAACTCCCACACCTCCGAGGCGCCGGTACGATCCCCTGCCCAATGGAGGCTACGACCTCCGCTACATGTTCATCATGGTCGTCGCAGGATTGCCGCTTGCTAGCATCACAAAGAAGGGCTGCTTTTGCCCTTGGGGTTTGGGGTTTGGGGGCTAGGAATTTGGTGGTCTGGAAGTTTAGGGTTTAGGGTTTAGGGGTTTAGGGGTTTAGGGTTTAGGGCTTGTATCACAAATCGAATCGTCCACGGGGTCCGCGTCACTCTTCGGCTGCCTTGACAAACGCCATCGATATTCAGCTGTTTTCCCTGTCGGTCTTGGGTTGAAACCATGGGCCCCTAGTATGGGCCCTTAACGGTGGGATCCTTATATAGCTACTACTGGCCGGCTGTTAAGGCTATTTTTTTTAATTTTTCTGTTTTGTTAATTAGTTATGTTTTTTTTTTTAATTTTCGGCTTCTTAAAATATCACATGAAACTCATGTGATATTCAAAAAGGAACATCTATGAATTCCACAACAACAAGGTTTGGTCAGGCTATAGACGACTGACTAAGTTGTTGAAACGGAAAGAGCGATGCCAAGATTTGTCTCTTTCTCTCTGCGTCGCTGCGTCGGTCTGTGTCTCTCTTTCTCTCATTCTCTCTTTCTCTCTCTCTCTCTGTCTAACTCTCTCTCTCTCTCTCTCTCTTTCTCTCTCTCTATCTCTCTCTGTGTTCCTTTCTGTCTCTATGAGTATTCACATATTATGTACAGTAAGTTGTGGATATGCAATATGATATGATATGATATATATATATATGTATGTATATATATCTATATATATATATATACATATATATATATATACATATATATATATATATATGTAAGTATGGACCCAGTATGGACATGCATTTTGCAGTGTGCATGACTGCATACATGGGTATCATTTAATGTATGTGATGCATGCAGGCATTCATGTAACTCTTTCTCGCTCGCTTATCAAGAGTTGAGGAACTGGTACATGAAAGAGAAATTATTCACGAGCTGAGCCCGGCTGAATGCCTGCATAGCCTGTCGACACCAACTTCTCAACCACAAGGAAGGTTAGACTCAAGGCTGACAGAGAAGCCTCGAATCTGAAATTTCAGGCAGCTACGCAGCTCTGATGAACAGAGTTGGATTTCATACGAAACCTTGTTCAGCTGTTGTCTGTCCTTGTGCCCAGAATCGAGGACACAGCTGGGGCCACCGTGAAAAAGCACTTTCTGACATTGGTCTGGCAGGGCGGCTCAGGGGACAGATAGCATGCACCCGGGCTCGAGCTGGGGAATTCAGCTGGTAGCAATCGGGTCCATCACCACAACCACCGTGGCCAGAATCTGCAGCAAACCAGAAGCAATCGCCAATACATCTTCGTCTTGCTGTAAGGTACGAAGGGAGTAGAACGTACAGAACTTAGTGGTGTGGCTTTTCTTAGTACCTGGTAGCGTTTGGGTTGGGGCTTTAGGTTGTGGGACGTTGTAAAGTCTGAATGCCAAATGCCCAAGCACCATCCGGCCAGTGCGTTTCCTGAGTCTGATACGATCATCTTTTGCGCTAGGTTTGTATTTGTCGTTGTTATTCTTATTCATCTTATTCTTGCTTTTGGTGTCGTTTTGTGTGTCATCACTGTCGCAGTTCTTCATCACTGCGATTGTCGATTTCTCAAGTTTATGTGGTCCAGGCCAGATGTTCCACATAAGTATGGGTGGCCCAGGTTTCCTTCTCTCGCACCTCCTCTCTGCCACATTTGCAACCAGTTCTGGTTTCAGTTCCAGCTCCCACCACCTGTAATATGTGACGTGCTTTAGGGGCCGTCGCCGACAACACCTTAGGGGTCTTACGATCCGTTTGTGGCTTTCTTCGGGCACGTTCGCACGACCTGTGCTCCAAACATCTGCAGACCGGGGAAACTTGGGTTCTAAAGCTTCTAAAGGGTCCAGGAACGCAACAGCTTCGAAGCTTCGAGATCCTAGCTTCGTACTTGCGCGCTTTGGTTTCGGCGCCAGTAGTTCCAGGTCCCAAGACTCAAAGACTCGCCCAGGCAGGAAGAATGGACTCAGAATCCCTTTGCTCGCCACAAGCGCTGGCCCCAGCTTCCGCCGGGGCTTCACTTCCTACGTTCAAAGTCACGAAAGCTAGCTCTGTGGAGCTTTGCGGGAGTGGTCGTTTATCGAAGAAAAGCACGCAGGACCTTATCTGGTCCGTTTTCAATAGTTAAAGGGGGGTGAGGGGAGAGGGCCCAACGCGCCACCACAAAAATGATTGCTTTAGAGGAATTAAGGAGGGGGCCCCCCCACCACCATAAGGTCTCCTGCACAACATAAGCAACATGGCTAAGTTGCGCTTTGTGTTGCATGGCCGAGTCTACATGGCCGAGTCGGCCTACGTCACGTTTGACCCTGAAGCAACTAGCTAAGTTGCCATCTGGACAGATTACATTCGCGTGTGGCGCAGTTGCCACTTCAGGGCCAAGAGCCGCAGACGACAAGCGCGTGGAAGCATTGAAGCTTGCGCACCTAACATGCTACGTTCGAGACCAAGCACATCCGGAAAGCTTCAACAATCTAACTTAATGGAACAAATATCTGCAAGATTGGAAGCAAACCTGCATGGATTGCGTAAGTTCTTGTGCCGTGCCATCCAGCTTCGCGCGGGCTATGCGGCTTCAGTGAAACAACTGCGGTCAGCTGCGTTGCAGTCCTCCGCTCTAGCTTTCGTAGCCCGCTTCCCACGTCGAAGTGCAACTTCAGAGCTCATGCAGACTGGAATCCAGGAGCAGGAGGTCCAACGAAGTTGGGGCTGCCTCTCCTGAGGTTTGGAGGTTTGGCCGCTGATAAATGAGAGAAGCTGCAACAAGCATGGATCTTAAACCCCAAACACGTTGTTCAGTTCGGATGTCAGGCGATGTACTTCCGCTTCGGACTCAGGTTTGGGGTTCAGGCTTCGTGTTGGCGTTTCGGGGTCCCGCTGCAGTTTGGGGCAGTGACAAACTTGCATGTTCAGATCTTTTAGTTCCATATCCAGGCTTTCAGGATTTCTCATTTGGACTTGTCGTATGACCTTCACGAATGCAACTGTTTTCGCTAGTGTTTGTAGTTCGGCACGGGGGCAGCCATGTTGGGTTTGACGCGTTTTCTCCCATGTCCATGCAGCACACCTTATCAATGAAGCATGGAGAGTGTAGTGTAGCCCAATGCGAACCCTAGCCCTAAGCCATCAGCCACTCCCGACCCATTAGCCGCAAATCACGGTGATCGATAGACTTTCAGGGCTGAGGATGGAACTCGACCAAAGCAGCAAAGATCTGCAATTCAAACATCCACTGCCATTCACTGCAGGTACATCAAAGGCAAGATCGTTTACCAACGAAGCCCGGAGGTGCAGCTTCGTGCTGGATCCGATTTGATTTTCTCGCAGATGCTTAATGGCAGCAACAACCTACTACTTGTACTAGCTGGTCAGGATCTAGGAAAGTGTCGGCTGCGTGATATGCTGGCATTTTTGCCAAGCATGTAAGCGCAGCCGATTTCGCTCTACGCATCGGATCGTTTCCGAGAGTCTGCAGTCGGTCAAGGCTGTCCGGTGCACAGAGCCACGCTCTCCGCGACTCTTGTGTGTGAAGGACATCGAGTTCTTCACGAAGGCCTACACCATCATGGATGGTAGGATGATGCTCTCCGAGATAGAGGACATGCCGACTGTTGCAAAAATTCAGCTCAGGGCAAGAATGGCTATATACAGGCAAGATTTGTATAGATTGACAGTGGAACCGGATGCCAGCTAATGACACCCACAGTCTTACATGGCCACCAGCGGCCCACCTTTCTGAACTGAAAGTCGCTGCAGCATGGAGCGCAAGTCGCAAGACGACATACAACAGATTAGCAAGACAGTTCAGCCTAGCGACGCGAGCAGTGATGTGTATGAGGCTCACTTGCCAAGGGTAAGAACTTAATTCTTAGAGGGTCGGGGTGCCGGCTGCGACTTGCTCTAGTTCCTATATGCGGAGATGACGCACGATGCTGCTGGACTTGAACTCTGAAGTTCTTAAGCCATTTCACCTTAAACTCACCTCCTCCCTGCTACCCTGCTCCACCAACCTCCGAGTTCAGGAGTGCGGCGTGGATGATTCACTTTCATGAGTTGAGATTTGGGGCTTATTAGGATGCGTATTAGCTTCTCCGGATTGACTGCGCGAAGCTCCCCTGAGTTGAGTCTCCAAGAGTATATAGACTTCACAGTCGAAGTGCTAGCAGCGCCACAGTCCTGCTATGTGATGTTACGTTAGTTACGTTCGCAGTCATCTCTTGCCGCCATTGTCATGGCCATATTCACCAGCGTCGTCGTGATCAGCATTGCCATCACAGCCAGCATCACAGTACATGTCATCCGCAATCATTGATCCTCTCATGAGGACTCTGGTTTTCCCTCCCCACTGCCGGGCGAAGATATAAAGTGCCGGCCCTTGGCTACGAGGGTTGGCAGTGAAAGGTTTCAGAACGGTAGTTTGACGTCTAAGGAGTCCAATGTGCTATCCTGCAGACTTCGTGGGGCCTTTGAGGTTCAGGTTGTGCATGTTCGACGGGCTTCATGACGAGTGTTCCTGGAGTGCTTTTCTGCCTGCCATTTGATGCTGAGCTTGAATGGTTTTGAGGGTTCCACTTTTCTATCTGCTTTTGCTTGATTCTTTCACTGCAGCCGCTCTCGGTCATATCCCAAGTTTCAGTTGCATTAGCATATAGCAGCTGCACGGGTAGCAGCAGCGGCAGTAGCAGTGCAGTGCTGGTAGCAGTCGTCGTCGTATTGGTAGTCGTAGTCGTAGTCGTAGTCGTAGTCCTAAGCACAGCCACTCCTGCTAGTACTACTACTGCTACTACTACTACTACTACTACTACTACTACCACTACTACTACTACTCCTACTACTACTACTACTACTACTACTACTACTACTACCACTACCACTACCACTACCACGACAACTACTGCCACTACAACTTCTGCCACTGCTACTACTGCTGCTGCTACTGCTACTACGGGTATTACTGCTAGTGCTACCACGACTACTACCGCTACCAATACAACTAAACCACCACTACCAACATTCTGACGGTTACTGCTACTATGACTCGTGCTGCTGCTGCTGCTGCTGCTGCTGCTACTACTACTACTGCTACTATTACACTTGCTTCTTCTTCTTCTGCTGCTACAGCTACTGCCGTTGCTACGACGCTACTACTACTACTACTACTACTACCACCACCACTCGTTATACTACTTCTACGTCCACTTGATGGTTAACTTGTGCTTCTACTATTAGGACCAGCACTACACCGACGACACAGAGAAGTAGTACAACCATGTATGTGAGAACCACGATATGGGGGTCACGCAGGCAAGACTAGCAAATGCGGCAAATATATACAACTCATGACCGAGAAGTCACAGCAACAAGAGGCCTCCGGCTATGTTTGTAGTCCATAGCAGCATTGCTTAGTCTCACTAAGACCCTAAGTGCTACGTGCTAGATCCGATGTCTTCACCCTTTCGTTTCCAAATGCTGCATTGCCAGGTACTTGGACAATGCACCGTGAGCAGCATCAAGTAGACTGTTGATGTGTGCATTTCCCAGTCAAGCCTCGGCGGCGGCCCCGTGTTTAAAAGATGTGCTGAAGCATTTAGTGCCCCCGCCGTGCACCAGCTTCCTTCGGCGATTCGCGCTGGAGTCTTTTAGTGACCACCGCAGAGCAGGTGGCAATGCTACATGAGCTGTGCCTTGGATCTGTTGCACCTCCAGTCACCCCGCAGCGAAACATGCCCTTTGTGAATTTATCCTCCCAGCTTCTAGATCTTTCTCATAAGGTGTTACTGTGAGGAGTGAGGTCATTTGTTGTGGGAAGCTCTCACACTGGCAGCGCCGAATGAAATAGGCTGGAGGGTTCCCTCTAGAAACCTGACTCGATGTACTTCCATTCTTCGAGTTTGAGACTCAGGTTCCAATCTTATTCTTGAGCGTAAGGCGTAAGATCTGCTGCTCATGTTGCAATGCCGGATATATGTCCGCGGTTGAGGACGAAAGTGTTCTTCAAGCACAGGTAGAGCTCCACGACAATGAAAGCCTACGGTGGTTACAGCTCATTCGGTGACTCCGGCCTTCTCTCAACGGAGCTTCGGCGGAGTTCTTGTCGGATACACATTCTCGGGCGAGCTTGAGTGCAACCTTTGACCGTCTGCCGTATCCTCCGTCTGTGCGGCTACATAAGTTGCAGCGCCGCAAATCCAACCCTCGTGACTATGCCTCAAATCATCCGCTCCCGTGAAAGTTAAATCGCCCAGGCCAAAATCCTAAACTTTCGCAGCACGATGGCAAGTGTGCTCAAGAATGTGCTTCCTCATTAGGAGATGGCATGCCTGTCGAATGGGTTGGCGCCTCTCCCTGTCTTTCTCTGGCTTTTTGTCACGGGCCGTGTTCGCCCCAGCGCTGCCGACCCTGAATCTTGCAATTTACCTTCAGGATTCAGCACAACCAAGCAAGCCAGTCGCGCATCGCTGCATCCAAAGCCCTGTTGGATCTTAAGACGAGCGCTTCAAATTGGAACACTTCAGTTGCAGCCTCTAGAACGCTAAATGCGAACCAGCCCAGCTGCGAACTTGGACTGTTCTGGCCCACGGCCCTGATGCCGGAGCCAGCTTCGAGAGTCAGATGAGGGATACCTGGGCAGCGACCTTGTCATGATCCATTCTGGTGATTCTTAGAGGTGGATGCTTACTGTTCTAGTTATCCTTGATTCAAAGCATTGCGGTTGTGGGGATTGCCACGCTGATCGTTCGGGACATTTCGGGACCGATTTATCCTAGTTGCTCTGTGTTCTGCTGGCCGACGATTGATGTTTGTAACAGATCTTCCTATCCATGCGACACCTGTGGATAGATTGCTGCATGCCGGGACCCTCGTATTTCCATGACGATGCTCGTCTGCGTGTTCGCATATCCTCTGTACATCTCTGTACAGTAACCCTCAGCCCCACCCTTAACCCAAGACTCTTAGCTCAGCACTTGAAGCCAGTACTATTATGGTGCCAGGTGCCGTGATGTGGTACATACGTACATGCATGCATGCATCATGCATGCATGCGAGTGTGCACACACACAGATATGTATGTACGTAAGTATATATGTGTGTGTGTGTGCATGTAACTACAGTTGGTAAACATGTCTACATTTTTTGTCGGTATGGATATCAGCTGTTACTTGCGATTAGACTATATGACTAAAGGCATTGCAAGCGCTTGAATAGGCAAGCAAAGCAGATAGGTAAGCTTACGTGCATCTATGTACATGTATCCTTTTTGTGTAATCAAGGGTTTTCGCTACGTATACTTGCCACTATCCATAAGGCTCTTTTCGTGCCTACAGTTTACTTTCCGTTCCGTGCAACCCACGGAAGTGCAGAGTGCTCAACATTGCTTCTCGGGCTTGGCATTTTAGAAACCTGGCAACGGTCACGAAGCCCTGTTTACGCTTCTGGGTCTTTAGTCATCGCGGTTTGAGGTGGTTTAGGATTACGCGCTAGAGCACACATGTTGCCGTACAAAGAACGGTGCAAAGTCTGAACCTGCATGCCCTTACGCTCACGCCCGGAGCCTGCCAAGTCACCCCTTAACACAGACAGACCGCAGCGCCAAAGAGGATGATGGAGCATTCGCGGACTTTAGACCAGAGGCATTGCCAAGCAAAGTGCAACTGATCAAAACGCAGCCGAGAGTTCACTGCTGAACATGTTGAAGGGGGTCACGCGGGATAGACCTTCAATATGGGCAACGATGGAGCTTTAACATTTATGCATAGCACGCATAGCGCGTTGTGGAGAATCATCTTGTTCCCAGTTGTGAGCGCTTGCTGTCGTTGCGAGTGTCACTGCTCATATTGCCTTGCCGCAGACTGGCAGGGACGGACTTCTTCTGGATTCTAGGGGTGTAAGCACGAACAGAACGACTGTCGTTTCTGAAGCAAAACCGCAGGCTGATGTTAGACTCGGAATCAAGATATGCCAGCTGGTGTAGTATACTTCCACAGTGCCCTGAATCTAACCACGACCCTGCTACTAAGCCGTAGGCCAGGGCCATAGCTTAACTTGAAGTTTAACAACCACGAGCATAAACGTTCGACCAAGCATCACCTGCTGCAGTGGGCGAGCGTTTCGTTCGGCATCTTCCTCTGTGCTCGCCCCAGAGTCGGAAACCTGTTCCGGTCCAGCAGTCTAGCGCTGTTGACAACAGAAGTGTAGTGTTGAACACCGCTAGTCTCAACAGGGCAGCCATGTGTCTGGGTCACCTCTCGTGAGATCTGATTCTTCACGTGCATTCCAACCCCACACAAGCGCGATGCTTCGCTGCAGAGTCTACCCGGAGCCGTCGCTACTGCAAGCCATGCTTTGCGAAATCCTAGACTAAGCGGGATCCTATTTCCTGTGGATCCTGTGGTCCTCAATCTCTTTGACTATGTGGGACATCCAAAAGATCTCCACATGGTAGAGCATCAATGGCAGATCAGACTCTAGCTGGGCTCATTTCGCTCGAACCGTATTCGTGTTCTTCTTGTTTTGAGCTTTTCCTCCATGAAGGCTTTTGACTATTCTGACTGTGTCCATGGATGACTGCATTCTCTCTGCTAGACTTATGCCGCGGAT